GGGGGTGGACAGGAAGGGGGTGGACAGGAAGGGGGGTGGACAGGAAGGGGGTAGACAGGAAGGGGGTGGACAGAAAGGGGGTGGACAGGAAGGGGGTAGACAGGAAGGGGGTAGACAGGAAGGGGGTAGACAGGAAGGGGGTAGACAGGAAGGGGGTGGACAGGAAGGGGGTAGACAGGAAGGGGGTAGACAGGAAGGGGTGGACAGGAAGGGGTGGACAGGAAGGGGGTGGACAGGAAGGGGGTGGACAGGAAGGGGGTGGACAGGAAGGGGGTAGACAGGAAGGGGGTGGACAGGAAGGGGTGGACAGGAAGGGGGTGGACAGGAAGGGGGTAGACAGGAAGGGGGGGTGGACAGGAAGGGGGTGGACAGGAAGGGGGTAGACAGGAAGGGGGTGGACAGGAAGGGGGTGGACAGGAAGGGGTAGACAGGAAGGGGGTAGACAGGAAGGGGGTGGACAGGAAGGGGTGGACAGGAAGGGGGGTAGACAGGAAGGGGGGTGGACAGGAAGGGGGTGGACAGGAAGGGTAGACAGGAAGGGGGTAGACAGGAAGGGGGGACAGGAAGGGGGTAGACAGGAAGGGGGTAGACAGGAAGGGGGGTGGACAGGAAGGGGGTAGACAGGAAGGGGTGGACAGGAAGGGGGTCGACAGGAAGGGGGTAGACAGGAAGGGGGTAGACAGGAAGGGGGTAGACAGGAAGGGGTAGACAGGAAGGGGGGACAGGAAGGGGGTAGACAGGAAGGGGTGGACAGGAAGGGGGTAGACAGGAAGGGGGTAGACAGGAAGGGGTGGACAGGAAAGGGGTAGACAGGAAGGGGTGGACAGGAAGGGGGTAGACAGGAAGGGGTGGACAGGAAGGGGGTAGACAGGAAGGGGGTAGGAAGGGGGGGACAGGAAGGGGTAGACAGGAAGGGGTGGACAGGAAGGGGTGGACAGGAAGGGGGTAGACAGGAAGGGGGTGGACAGGAAGGGGTGGACAGGAAGGGGGTAGACAGGAAGGGGTGGACAGGAAGGGGTGGACAGGAAGGGGGTAGACAGGAAGGGGGTAGACAGGAAGGGGGTAGACAGGAAGGGGTGGACAGGAAGGGGTAGACAGGAAGGGGGTAGACAGGAAGGGGGTAGACAGGAAGGGGTGGACAGGAAGGGGTAGACAGGAAGGGGGTAGACAGGAAGGGGTGGACAGGAAGGGGTGGACAGGAAGGGGGTAGACAGGAAGGGGGTAGACAGGAAGGGGGTGGAGGGACAGGAAGGGGGGTGGACAGGAAGGGGGTGGACAGGAAGGGGGTAGACAGGAAGGGGGTGGACAGGAAGGGGGTAGACAGGAAGGGGGTGGACAGGAAGGGGGTGGACAGGAAGGGGGTGGACAGGAAGGGGGTAGACAGGAAGGGGGTAGACAGGAAGGGGGTGGACAGGAAGGGGGTAGACAGGAAGGGGGTGGACAGGAAGGGGGTGGACAGGAAGGGGTAGACAGGAAGGGGGTGGACAGGAAGGGGTAGACAGACAGGAAGGGGGTGGACAGGAAGGGGGTAGACAGGAAGGGGTGGACAGGAAGGGGGTAGACAGGAAGGGGTGACAGGAAGGGGGTAGACAGGAAGGGGTGGACAGGAAGGGGGTGGACAGGAAGGGGTGGACAGGAAGGGGGTAGACAGGAAGGGGGTGGACAGGAAGGGGGTGGACAGGAAGGGGTAGACAGGACAGGAAGGGGGTGGACAGGAAGGGGGTAGACAGGAAGGGGTAGACAGGAAGGGGGTGGACAGGAAGGGGTGACAGGAAGGGGTGGACAGGAAGGGGGTAGACAGGAAGGGGGTAGACAGGAAGGGGGTAGACAGGAAGGGGGTAGACAGGAAGGGGTAGACAGGAAGGGGTGGACAGGAAGGGGTAGACAGGAAGGGGTGGACAGGAAGGGGGTAGACAGGGGGGTAGACAGGAAGGGGTGACAGGAAGGGGTGGACAGGAAGGGGTAGACAGGAAGGGGTGGACAGGAAGGGGGTGGACAGGAAGGGGGTGGACAGGAAGGGGGTAGACAGGAAGGGGGTAGACAGGAAGGGGTGGACAGGAAGGGGGTAGACAGGAAGGGGGGTGGACAGGAAGGGGTGGACAGGAAGGGGTGGACAGGAAGGGGGTAGACAGGAAGGGGGTGGACAGGAAGGGGGTAGACAGGAAGGGGGTAGACAGGAAGGGGGTGGACAGGAAGGGGGACAGGAAGGGGTGGACAGGAAGGGGGTAGACAGGAAGGGGTGGACAGGAAGGGGTGGACAGGAAGGGGTGGACAGGAAGGGGTGGACAGGAAGGGGGTGGACAGGAAGGGGGTAGACAGGAAGGGGTGGACAGGAAGGGGGTGGACAGGAAGGGGGTAGACAGGAAGGGGGTAGACAGGAAGGGGGTAGACAGGAAGGGGTGGACAGGAAGGGTTGGACAGGGGGGGTGACAGGAAGGGGTGGACAAAACAGTGGACAGGAAGGGGTCACGTAGACAGGAAGGGGTAAAGACTTTTTTATTTCCCAAAATATATCAAATTTCCATAAAATCAAGTGGAAGTTGGCTCAGCTAGGGGCCCCCCTGGGAGCTGGCTTGGTGTAGGGGCCCCCTGGGAGCTGGCTTGGTGTAGGGCCCCCTGGGAGCTGGCTTGGTGTAGGGGCCCACCTGGGAGCTGGCTTGGTGTAGGGCCCCCTGGGAGCTGGCTTGGTGTAGGGCCCCCTGGGAGCTGGCTTGGTGTAGGGCCCCCCTGGGAGCTGGCTTGGTGTAGGGGGCCCCTGGGAGCTGGCTTGGTGTAGGGGCCCCCCTGGGAGCTGGCTTGGTGTAGGGCCCCCTGGGAGCTGGCTTGGTGTATAGGGGCCCCCCTGGGAGCTGGCTTGGTGTAGGGGCCCCCTGGGAGCTGGCTTGGTGTATAGGGGCCCCCCTGGGAGCTGGCTTGGTGTAGGGCCCCCTGGGAGCAGCCTTGGTGTAGGGGCCCCCCTGGGAGCTGGCTTGGTGTAGGGGCCCCCTGGGAGCTGGCTTGGTGTAGGGGCCCCCTGGGAGCTGGCTTGGTGTAGGGGCCCCCCTGGGAGCTGGCTTGGTGTAGGGGGCCCCTGGGAGCTGGCTTGGTGTAGGGGCCCCCCTGGGAGCTGGCTTGGTGTAGGGGCCCCCCTGGGAGCTGGCTTGGTGTAGGGGCCCCCCTGGGAGCTGGCTTGGTGTAGGGGCCCCCCTGGGAGCTGGCTTGGTGTAGGGGCCCCCCTGGGAGCTGGCTTGGTGTAAGGGCCCCCTGGGAGCTGGCTTGGTGTAAAGGCCCCCTGGGAGCTGGCTTGGTGTAGGGGCCCCCCTGGGAGCTGGCTTGGTGTATGGGCCCCCCTGGGAGCTGGCTTGGTGTAGGGGCCCCCCTGGGAGCTGGCTTGGTGTAGGGGCCCCCCTGGGAGCTGGCTTGGTGTAGGGGCCCCCCCTGGGAGCTGGCTTGGTGTAGGGGCCCCCCTGGGAGCTGGCTTGGTGTAGGGGCCCCCCTGGGAGCTGGCTTGGTGTAGGGGCCCCCCCTGGGAGCTGGCTTGGTGTAGGGCCCCCTGGGAGCTGGCTTGGTGTAAGGGCCCCTCTGGGAGCTGGCTTGGTGTAAGGGCCCCCCGGGAGCTGGCTGGGAGCTGGCTTGGTGTAGGGCCCCCTGGGAGCTGGCTTGGTGTAGGGGCCCCCTGGGAGCTGGGAGCTGGCTTGGTGTAGGGGCCCCCCCTGGGAGCTGGCTTGGTGTAGGGGCCCCTGGGAGCTGGCTTGGTGTAGGGGCCCCCCTGGGAGCTGGCTTGGTGTCGGGGCCCCTGGGAGCTGGCTTGGTATAGGGGCCCCTGGGAGCTGGCTTGGTGTTGGGCCCCCTGGGAGCTGGCTTGGTGTAAGGGCCCCCCTGGGAGCTGGCTTGGTGTAGGGCCCCCTGGGAGCTGGCTTGGTGTAGGGGCCCCTGGGAGCTGGCTTGGTGTAGGGGCCCCTGGGAGCTGGCTTGGTGTAGGGGCCCCTGGGAGCTGGCTTGGTGTAGGGGCCCCTGGGAGCTGGCTGGTGTAGGGGCCCCTGGGAGCTGGCTTGGTGTAGGGGGCCCTGGGAGCTGGCTTGGTGTAGGGGCCCCCCTGGGAGCTGGCTTGGTGTAGGGGCCCCCCTGGGAGCTGGCTTGGTGTAGGGGCCCTGGGAGCTGGCTTGGTGTAGGGGCCCCCCTGGGAGCTGGCTTGGTGTAGGGGGCCCCTGGGAGCTGGCTTGGTGTAGGGGGCCCCTGGGAGCTGGCTTGGTGTAGGGGGCCCCTGGGAGCTGGCTTGGTGTAGGGCCCCCTGGGAGCTGGCTTGGTGTAGGGGCCCCTGGGAGCTGGCTTGGTGTAGGGGGCCCTGGGAGCTGGCTTGGTGTAGGGGCCCCTGGGAGCTGGCTTGGTGTAGGGGCCCCTGGGAGCTGGCTTGGTGTAGGGGCCCCCCTGGGAGCTGGCTTGGTGTAGGGGGCCCCTGGGAGCTGGCTTGGTGTAGCGCCCCCTGGAGCTGGCTTGGTGTAGGGGGCCCCTGGGAGCTGGCTTGGTGTAGGGGCCCCTGGGAGCTGGCTTGGTGTAGGGCCCCCTGGGAGCTGGCTTGGTGTAGGGCCCCCTGGGAGCTGGCTTGGTGTAGGGGGCCCCTGGGAGCTGGCTTGGTGTAGGGCCCCCTGGGAGCTGGCTTGGTGTAGGGGGCCCTGGGAGCGGGTTGTGAATAACAGGCTGAGGTTACTGCCTCAGTACGACTAGGGACAAAATGTCAACAGGAGCAGCTAACTGTATGGCAACAGGAGAAGCGGGTGAGCAACAGAAGTAACTGCGTGGCAGTGAAAGCTGTAACAGACAGGATCAGCTGCACTATGATAACAGAGCATGAGTAGCAGCTGCACTATGATAACAGAGCATGAGTAGCAGCTGCACTATGATAACAGAGCATGAGTAGCAGCTGCACTATGATAACAGAGCATGAGTAGCAGCTGCACTATGATAACAGAGCATGAGTAGCAGCTGCACTATGATAACAGAGCATGAGTAGCAGCTGCACTATGATAACAGAGCAAGAGGACCATCACACTGTGATAACAGAGCAAGAGGACCATCACACTGTGATAACAGAACAAGAGGAGCATCACACTGTGATAACAGAGCAAGAGGACCATCACACTGTGATAACAGAGCAAGAGGAGCATCACACTGTGATAACAGAGCAAGAGGAGCATCACACTGTGATAACAGAGCAAGAGGAGCATCACACTGTGATAACAGAGCAAGAGGACCATCACACTGTGATAACAGAGCAAGAGGACCATCACACTGTGATAACAGAGCAAGAGGACCATCACACTGTGATAACAGAGCAAGCGGACCATCACACTGTGATAACAGAGCAAGAGGACCATCACACTGTGATAACAGAGCAAGAGGACCATCACACTGTGATAACAGAGCAAGAGGACCATCACACTGTGATAACAGAGCAAGAGGAGCATCACACTGTGATAACAGAGCAAGAGGACCATCACACTGTGATAACAGAGCAAGAGGACCATCACACTGTGATAACAGAGCAAGAGGACCATCACACTGTGATAACAGAACAAGAGGAGCATCACACTGTGATAACAGAGCAAGAGGACCATCACACTGTGATAACAGAGCAAGAGGACCATCACACTGTGATAACAGAGCAAGAGGACCATCACACTGTGATAACAGAGCAAGAGGACCATCACACTGTGATAACAGAGCAAGAGGACCATCACACTGTGATAACAGAGCAAGAGGACCATCACACTGTGATAACAGAGCAAGAGGACCATCACACTGTGATAACAGAACAAGAGGAGCATCACACTGTGATAACAGAGCAAGAGGACCATCACACTGTGATAACAGAGCAAGAGGAGCATCACACTGTGATAACAGAGCAAGAGGACCATCACACTGTGATAACAGAGCAAGAGGACCATCACACTGTGATAACAGAACAAGAGGAGCAGCTGCACTATGATAACAGAGCAAGAGGACCATCAACACTGTGATAACAGAGCAAGAGGAGCAGCTGCACTATGATAACAGAGCAAGAGGACCATCAACACTGTGATAACAGAGCAAGAGGACCATCTACACTGTGATAACAGAACAAGAGGAGCATCACACTATGATAACAGAGCAAGAGGAGCAGCTGCACGATGATAACAGAACAAGAGGAGCAGCTGCACTATGATAACAGAGCAAGAACGGCAGTAAAGTAAAACAACATGGCGATAAGAATTAAAATAACAGAAACAGAGCAACACAGATAACATGAACGGTGACACAAACAGGAGAAGCATGGGGAGCACTAAGTAATAAACAGGAGCCACAACAGAGCAGCGTTGTCGAGCCCGAGAGCGACTGAGGCAGAGTGCAACAGGAGCCACAACAGAGCAACAGAGAGAAAGAGAGAGCGACTGAGGCAGAGTGCAACAGGAGCCACAACAGAGCAACAGAGAGAGAGAGAGCGACTGAGGCAGAGTGCAACAGGAGCCACAACAGAGCAACAGAGAGAGAGAGAGAGAGCGACTGAGGCAGAGTGTAACAGGAGCCACAACAGAGCAACAGAGAGAGAGAGAGCGACTGAGGCAGAGTGCAACAGGAGCCACAACAGAGCAACAGAGAGAGAGAGAGAGCGACTGAGGCAGAGTGCAACAGGAGCCACAACAGAGCAACAGAGAGAGAGAGAGCGACTGAGGCAGAGTGCAACAGGAGCCACAACAGAGCAACAGAGAGAGAGAGAGAGCGACTGAGGCAGAGTGCAACAGGAGCCACAACAGAGCAACAGAGAGAGAGAGAGCGACTGAGGCAGAGTGCAACAGGAGCCACAACAGAGCAACAGAGAGAGAGAGAGAGAGCGACTGAGGCAGAGTGCAACAGGAGCCACAACAGAGCAACAGAGAGAGAGTGAGCGACTGAGGCAGAGTGCAACAGGAGCCACAACAGAGCAACAGAGAGAGAGAGAGAGAGCGACTGAGGCAGAGTGTAACAGGAGCCACAACAGAGCAACAGAGAGAGAGAGAGCGACTGAGGCAGAGTGCAACAGGAGCCACAACAGAGCAACAGAGAGAGAGAGAGAGCGACTGAGGCAGAGTGCAACAGGAGCCACAACAGAGCAACAGAGAGAGAGAGAGAGAGAGCGACTGAGGCAGAGTGCAACAGGAGCCACAACAGAGCAACAGAGAGAGAGGGGAAGGGTGCGAGAAGCACATAACATTATTGCTTTTTTAGTGGCGGCTCTTGTGCTGCCCTGTTATGGCGGCGGGGGTCCTTACTGACCTCTCTCTCTCTCTGTCTGTGTCTCTCTGTCTCTCTCTGTCTCTCTCTCTCTGTCTGTGTGTCTCTGTCTCTCTCTGTCTCTCTCTGTCTCTCTCTGTCTCTCTCTGTCTCTCTCTGTCTGTGTCTCTCTGTCTCTCTCCGTCTCTCTCTGTCTCTCTCTGTCTCTCTCTGTCTCTCTCTCTCTCCGTCTCTGTCTGTCTGTGTCTGTCTGTCTGTCTGTCTGTCTGTCTGTCTGTCTGTCTGTCTGTCTGTCTGTCTGTCTGTCTGTCTGTCTGTCTGTCTGTCTCTCTCTCTGTCTCTGTCTCTGTCTCTGTCTCTGTCTCTCTCTGTCTCTCTCTGTCTGTCTCTCTCTCTCTCTCTCTCTGTCTCTTTCTCTCTGTCGTTATGTCTGTCCATTTGAGTGTCTCGTTACTGTCCCCCTCTCTGTGTTTCTCCCCCTCACCCCCCCCTCTCACTCGGACCATGGGGAGTGAGGGAGGGAGTGGGGGGGGGGGGAGTGAGGGAGGAGGGAGAGTAAGAGGGATTTTGCTAAAGTTGTTATTTATGATGCTTCGTAAATGGTTGCAATCACGGGGTGTGCCCTTATCTGTTGCTTCCTTCTCCTCCTCCTCCTCCTCCCTTCTCTCTCACTCTCTCTCTCTCTCCCTCTCTCTCCCCCCCCCCCCCCTCCCTCACTCTTCCCTCTCCTTCACGCCCCCTCTATCCCTCCTTTCACTCTCCCCCTTGCTAACTGCCTAGCCTCATGGGCCACACCTACGTTACTCATCCTGTGAGTATTGGGCAGCGGCACTCATCCTGTGAGTGGACACACCGCCGTAGTGACGGTATTGGGCAGTGTTACTCATCCTGTGAGTGGACACACCGCCATAGTGACGGTATTGGGCAGCGTTACTCATCCTGTGAGTGGACACACCGCCATAGTGACGGTATTGGGCAGCGTTACTCATCCTGTGAGTGGACACACCGCCATAGTGACAGTATTGGGCAGCGGCACTCATCCTGTGAGTGGACACACCGCCATAGTGACAGTATTGGGCAGCGTTTCTCATCCTGTGAGTGGACATCACACACCGCCATAGTGACAGTATTGGGCAGCGGCGAATGGACACGCCGCCGTCATCCTGTGAGTGGACACACCGCCATAGTGACAGTATTGGGCAGCGTCACTCATCCTGCGAATGGACACGCCGCCGTAGTGACGGTATTGGGTAGCGTTACTCATCCTGTGAGTGGACACACCGCCATAGTGACAGTATTAGGCAGCGGCACTCATCCTGTGAGTGGACACACCGCCGTAGTGACAGTATTAGGCAGCGGCACTCATCCTGTGAGTGGACACGCCGCCATAGTGACAGTATTGGGCAACTGCACATATATTCTCTTACTCCGCTGCTCAACTGTTGTTTCCACTCCGTATCTCCATGGATATTTGTATCCAAGACGGATTCTCGCTATTACTGATTCTCTCCCTCGTCGTCCTCCTCTTCGGCCATAATGATTGGGATCGCCAGCTGCAACCATGTTGTACCATCTTACAGATTCACTGGTTTGTGCTTCTATCCTCCTTTCCTCAGTTACCTTGTCACGGTGATGTTGCCTGATTATACCTCTAATTTGTAGTTGAGTCTTGGGTATGAAGTATTCAATATGGTCTCCTTCAGCGCCTTCAGCAGCCAGCACATCTGCTCGTTCATTCCCACATATTCCAACATGGGAGGGGATCCATGGGAATTTGACGACTCTTCCCTGACTACTGCCATACTCTCACAGAGTACTCTCACTGAGTACTCTCACTGAGTACTCTCACAGAGTACTCTCACAGAGTACTCTCACTGAGTACTCTCACAGAGTACTCTCACAGCTCTCTTTATTTCAGCAACTATCGCAAGGTTTTCTGCACGATTTTTATAAAGGCTTTGTAGTGCTGGTGCTTTTGAATCAGTGGAGATCACTGCACCGTTAGTGTTTGTTTAAATTAATCTTAACACCATAACAATGCAGTTAGTTCTGCTTGTGTTGAGGAGACACAGTTCTCATTACCTGTTTTTTCCTCATTTCCGTTTTGAAAGACATTATTCCTAATTACAGTGTACGGTGGACCAGGCCTCACATTGCTAGGATTACATGACCCATCAGTGTAGATTTGATCTAATTTATTTCCGGCGTCTTTATAAGTTTTCTCATGATAATTATGTATTATTTCTTATGTTATCATGTTGGACTTTTTCGTTGTCATCTCGTTTATAATAATCTTAGATGGGTCATCCTCCCAGGGAGGTAACCTCTCTACAGGCGGGAGCTCACGGGCTTGCTCAAGCAGGGGAAGCTCTTCCACCCAGCAGACTGATCTGTGATGCCAGTTTTTGCTTCTGTTTCTTCCTATAAGTAGCATGAAGCTTGACTTTTTTCTTGGCAATATCATTGTAATGGGGATCTCTGGCTATCTTAATTGCAAACTTAGTATTCAGTTCCTTGATTCTACTTTTAACACTGGGGAGAGACACCTCGTCTCGTAGATTAGACGTTCTGGCAGTTCTTGGGACTCCAAGAATGATTGTCATGGCGTCATTTTGTATGCTTTGAAGTCTTTTCACATGGCTTCAGGAGTAAGTGGACAAGACTGGTGCGGCATAGTGTATGACGGAGCGCACATAGGCTGTGTACATTACTTTAAGGCGGTAGTTGAGGCTCCACTCCCATTCCTTGTCATGACATTCAGCGCCTTGAGACGACTTCTGCCTGTCGTCACACTGGACCATAAGTTGGTTGAGCTCCTCTTTCTTCCCCTTGTTAGAGCGACAGTGACGCCAAGGTACCCATAGTGGTCAACCCACTTAAGTGTTTCACCTATAATTTGTAGTTCTTCATTTTCTTCCCGCTTGTGACGAGTGTGTGCTTTTGTCTTGTTTGTGGAGAGTGTGACACCGACCTCAACACATTTCCTTCCGAGGAGTTCAACGGACTGTTTAATTTTATCCAAGGTGGGAGCTTGTATTAGCACATCATCTGCACATCCCACTTGTGGTGTTCCTTCCGGAAATTCAGTATTTACAATGGCGTTCATAAGTATGTTGAGTAGTGTGGGACTTAAGACTCCTCCTTGGGGGGGTCCCGAGGACATATTCATTGTTCTGGAGACTTCACCGTTGAAGCAGACCTTGGCTTTCCTCCCTGTGAGGTAGTCTTCAACCCATTTCATGAGTCTCCCCTTGACACCCATGCATGCAAGCTCGTCCAGGATCGCAATCCCCTGTGCTTTGTCGAAGGCTCCTTTGATTATTAGAACAAATATGGTTTGAATACATTAAATTTTATTGATTCTTAAAGGGTAATTTTTTAAAATTATAAAACCGGTAATGACCGAGTTCTTGGCACGTGCGTGTTTGTGTACTCACTAGTTGTACTCTAGTTGTGCTTGCGGAGGGTGAGCTCTGGTTCTTTGGTCCCGCCTCTCAACCGTCAATCAACTGATATACAGGTTCCTGAGCCTACTGGGCTCAATCATATCTACATTTGAAACTGTGTATGGAGTCAGCCTCCACCACATCACTGCCTAATGCATTCCATCTGTTAACTACTCTGACACTGAAAAAGTTCTTTCTAACGTCTCTGTGGCTCATGTGGGTACTCAGTTTCCACCTGTGTCCTCTTGTTCGCGTACCACCCGTAATAAAAAGTTTATCCTTATCTACCCTGTCAATTCCTCTGAGAATTTTGTAGGTAGTGA